GTCGCCATCTACAGTGTTAAATATATGCCAAAGTTAATTTGTATGAATGTTATTATTAAATGTTATTAAATATTTATTCATCACAAAGAAAACATGTTAAAAAATACATATAATGAGGTAAGTTTATTTCCTGATGAGGTCTTTTCCAGTTAACCCTAGTTGTATAGAAGAAATAAAGTATCAAGGGTCTAATTATTGCACAATAATATTATTAAAACAAATAAATATTAATTAAATAAACAAATAATTATGTACATAAACTTCGCTTAAAGCTGTCGAATCGCTTAAAGCGATAAGACCGCCCATTGTACCACCGCTTATTTTTAATTTAATTGTATTGTATTTGTTTCCTTTTTTGGTGTACAATAAAGAATTTTTGTATTGTATTGTATAAACTTACGATACATAAATACTAATAATATTAATATTTATGTAAAATAAGTTATGTATAATATTCTAAATATATATTTAAATACAATATAATTATTATCTAAGCGAATTACTTGTTTCTATATTACGTTATGTAAAGGCATTACTAATGTATTATTTATTTCTTTGAACTTTTTTCAGCATTGCGGATATGAACGAAACGGAGATATTTCGAATAAAAAAAAAACAAAGTTTTATACGTTTGTATAGTTTTATGCGTTAGCATCTAATAGTCTGTGGTCATATGTTTCAAAATGTTAGAATATTATTATATGGTTCCAATAATTAGTGTACAACACTTACAGCTCACTTATTTACCGGTACTAATAGTATAAACTTGGTTTGAGTTTGAAGGCACGAAGTAAGTGTTGCCGTTAAAGTTAGGGACACTTTGTTCATTATTTACTGGCACCACAGCGTACACTGTACCCGGATTTTGCACGGTATTTGGTGACTGGGCTACTAACGTAACCTGGTCGCCCGCCGGGTTGTTAATGAGTGTCGGTTGTCCGTTTTGGTACACTAAAGTTGGTTGATTAGATGGTCTAATTAGTATTTGTTGGTTAGTGCCTTGCGACTTGAGTAAAATCGGTTCATTGGATGGTTGACTAATGTAAATGGGTTGGTTGGTTGGTTGACTTAAGTAAATGGGTTGACTAGGTTGATTAACCAACATTTGTTGACCTGAAGGTGACTGAGTAATCAGAACAGGTAGATTCGATGACGGCTGCTTGATTTGGCCGAGTAAAATGGGCTGATTTGTTGGTTGGCTCACGAAAATTTGATTCGGCTGATTTGAATGTTGGCTCACTAAATATTGGTTCTGATTATTCGGGATTCCGGTAGATGTTTGTTGGTTAGACAGTATTGGTTGTGTATTAGAAACTAATTGTGCCGTTGAATCCACTATTAGCTGTTGAGAGTTGGTCACCGGTTGTGTGACTGGTGAAATTTGAGGATTTCCTATAATTGTTTGAGATCTTGTAACCAGTGGTGGCGTGTTTCCTACTATAGGCTGGCTTTGAAGAGAACTTCCAGGATCAATATTTGAGTTTAACTTGGTCGTTGTTAGTTTCAAATTTCCATTTAGATCGACCGCGTTAGTAGCCGGTTGGTCTTGGGCCTTATCTTGAAGTTCTTTCAAAGCGTCTGAAGATATAAAGACGCCTCGGACAAAGCTTTGCGAATTAGATTGCGGACTCTGTGGTACTGGTGCTCCAGAAGTGATTGTGGCCCATACCCCGACAACTGCAACCTGTGGGAAAGAAAATTTGATAGATAACTTCTGTATTTAGGGCAGAGTCGTTCAAAATCGCAGAGAAATTATAAATAGTCTCTAACCTTTATGACCATGCGGATTTATGATTAAACTATGGACGTTAAAATGAAAGTAACTACCTACTTATATAGCTGCTTCAGTTTTATATCATAATTATTTTCCTATAAATGCCACCAACACCGCCACTTATCGATCGTGATCAGCCAATATAATGGTAAAAGTACACATATAAATTCACATGAAAGCTACGATTCTTACATTATTTATGAACGAAAGCACTACGTGATCGTCCTAGAAACTTCGATTGGGAGACTCATGCTCAATTATTCAATTCTTATCTATCGCCGAAGATCGTAGATTAAGATAATAATAATATAAGTGGTATAAAAGCAATATAGGTACCACACAAGATGAAAATATGTCACCTTATTGCTCAGACTTAGGTAGGCAACATCTCTAAAGCAACTTTTAATAAGTATCGATACTTGATAAATATATTGATAAAATAACTTACCAATAATTTTGCGTCCATGTTGAATGTCTATTGGATCTGGAGTGACCTGTTAATGAGTTGGTACCATTTTATAGCTCATTAATAATAGGCCAATAATACCAAACAAGACCACGTATGGTTCAATTAATGGGTCGTAACGAGTTTATGAATTTCCCCAACGGTATTACTCATTATCTTAAGATGATTTGTGGTTGTCGCTACTGGTTCTAAGAACATATTTACGATGTACTAGGTGAAAAACTGTACCGTATGACGGGATATTATAGATAACGTTATACTATTTGAGGATGATTTTTAGAAAGACTTGGAAAGTTTACAACTGTTTTTTTTTAGTGTAAATTGAATCTATAAGAATACCTACATAGGTACTGTATGTAATTTATGTACTAAGTATTCCAATTCCATGGAAAATTTTGACCCTCACTTTTATGCTTTTGCTACGTTTTTAGTAACTAACTAACTAGTAACTTAAAAAAATGATAACAGATCTATCTTGTAAATAGTTATATTAGATGTATTGTAGTTCTTGCTAGGTAAAGTAATTAGTATGTTGTGTATTAGAAGTCATTATCCGACAATGTCTGAAAGCTAGGAAATATATTCGGAAGCTATAAACCAGCGATATGCTGAGATTGTCTTATTCACTAACAAATGAGTACATAATAGAAATCAGTTTTACTCATTTCATAAGTATGTAATATTATGCTAAAAGAAACTCCTATAAGTAGGCTTTTTATTTATTATTCTTATTAACCGACTGCAAAAGAGGAGGAGGTTCTCAATTCGACTGTATTTTTTGGTATGTACGTTACGCGATAACTCCGGCCATTGTGAACCGATTTTCATGACTCTTTTTTGTTGGAAAGAGGTTACTTCAGTATTGGTCCCATTTAAATTTGAAGGAAATATTCCATCACTATGGGTGGCAACCTAGGGGATGAATCCGGTTTCACGCACTTTCCGGTAACCGATTTCAATAAAACTTGGCAAATAGATGTAATTCCACGAACTTTTTGAGGTTGGTATTTTTTATAAAAAAGTTACAATTATAACATTATAGGTTCTGTCTGTGGGTATGTGGTATAACAAGGTTCCGTACAAGGGTGTTATTTTAAACTCAATTTATCTTTCAAAATGATACCGTATCCTTTCGTCTGCGTGTGGTTCAAAATGGTATTAGAGTTAGTTCCGTGTTTATGTAAATGATCTGGATCATTGCATTAGTAGCAAGTAAAGACAAATTACACGAACAGCTTGGAAATAGTGCTCTGAATTCTCACTTTCGATAAATTTATTTGCTTCTATAAACTTTAATTTTCGTTAATATAACTATATTTAAAAGTTGTTGAAGGGCCTTTAAATTACAAGGCGGCTTTCCCTTATGATGTGGTGTGTAAGTGGCTGTAATTAACTATATAAAATATAATGTATGGGCCCGGAGCGGGAGAGAGCGAATACGTGCTGCTATTTTAGAGCTACACACACATTTCGACTAATAAAGAAAGAGATTATAAAAGACAAGAAGAATAAAAAAAATAATTAAAGATTGAAATTTTAATTTGTTTAATCAATTTTATTAGAGAGTGTTGTGCTGTCGAAAACTTTGTATACAACTTACAATCCGCATCATCCACTGTTATGTCTGGCCAATCGTTATTTACGGCAGCGACGCAAGGACCAAGAAGAAACTAGACGGCGTCTCGATGCATTTGAAATCTGGTGCTACCGTCGCATGCTCCGTAACACCTTACGCCAGCTGACGCGGACCATTAAGAAGCGCAAAATCACATATCTCGGTCACGTGCTTCGACGCGATAGATACCGACTGTTTCAACTTATAATGATGGGAAAGGTTGAAGGCAAGAGATGCGCAGGAAGACGTGAAAAGGCGTGGTTACGCAACATAAGGGAGTGGACCAGAGTCACGAGCGCGGAACACCTGTTTCGTTTGGCCATGGACAGAGACAAATTTGCCATATTGACGGCCAACCTCCAGTAGTGGAGAGGCACTTTAAGAAGAAGAAGAATCAATTTTATAATTTAAAACCAGTGCTCTTGTAAATGAAACGTTTTTAGTGGTCTTCCTTGTATGAATTAACAAACAATTTTGTCTTCTGTGATAACTAAACGTCAGACTGGTCAGTCAGGCTTTTTAGGAGCAGTAGAGGTGCTTGTGAAAGAGTTCATCCAGGGAAGTATTGCTGCTCTACCATTTCTGCCACCATACAGTAATGTGAGCATCACTGCGTTAAGGTTTTGGTAAAATTGCGTTTGGGTCTTTTCAACTTACGTGTCAGTGTGATGGACGCATTGGCAGTGCCTCTAAGATCTTTGCGATTTGAAGTTGTGAACGGCATTGCAACTGTAAATGCGTGTCGCTTAACACTCGTCACATGTTATCATAAAAGTCTTCTATTGTTGTTTATTGCCCTTTATTCGCAATGGTGTTCTCTATCTAAATCTTTTCTATATTTCCACGTGTATAGAGCTGTAATTGTTGTAGTTTCTTTTTAGATACGTGCCTGTTTAATTATTCTGTTTTATCTCAAAAATCACGTGAGCTTTAAGCCTAGCTTAAAACGAGTTACTAGGCGGTCAGATTCCATTGTTTTACTCGTAACACCAACAAAAACAAGGCCAATTTGAAAGTATTCCGCTTATTTTTTCAAGTCTGTTCCATATTCCGTGCGTAAATTGTGGTCTTAGCCTAAGGCTTAACATATGTAACGGCATGAGCTCTATTCGAATCGCAGAGAGCGGAATTATCATAATGTCTATATTAAATTTGAGTTTTACATTCATTACAAGCTATAAGCGAACAGAGAGTTGTTACAATAATTTTACGACAAGTTGTTTATAGGAGATATTGTCCGTTTGCACAAACGCCCACATTAAGGAAGTCAGTGTCTAGTTCTGCTTTCAAAAAATACAGAACAAAAATAAGTTAACTTATTAAATAGTTAAATACTTAACGGATTTAAATATATTATCTGCAACTTGCTTTAAGAAGTAAAAGTTAGGAATCATAATATTACTATACCTGCAGGAATATAACCGTTTCTATGTAGACACTCCCACTCGCAGATAGATAGTTTTTAGAATCAATTCTAGGAGCACGTAAAAGCGTATCATATCACAATGAAGTTAAGGTGCACTTTTAAAATAATGTCCTCGACGAATTTTAGTTTTAATCAAAATTGCACCTTGAGTTCAAAACGGTATGATTCGCTTTTAAGTGCTCTTACAATTGTTACTATCAGGGGGATACTTCAGTTTTTAACACAAGTATCTATAATGGGAAAGCGATCTATTTTCTATATTTATTGTAGGAATTAATGTCGATCGGGTAATTAGGTAAGTAATTATAAATATCTCTAGCAATGTCTAAATCCGGTATCTGTCGATACACTGTTCTCTTTTAACGTGCGATTACTAGTAATTTTACGATTTTGTTTCGAAAACAAGCTATCTTGAATTATTGTAATTTCCACGTAACTTTCCCTAGAAAGATACTTAAATCTTCCTATGACTCCTAATTACATACGCCAAAAGTGTTTAGGAATTAAGCACGTTTTTGCTAATTACTTAAAATCAGGTTTTTTAAATTTTTTTTTATACCAAAAGATTTTTTGGTCATTTTCTTTTTCAAATTCAAATTATAAAATTGACCAAAAAATTCATCAGTGTTAAAAAAATTAATTAAAAAACCAAATTGTCAGTAGTTGGCAAAAACGTCCTCTCTGCTTGATGCATGAACACTTTTTATGTGTGTATTTTGAAATATGAGCTTTTCAAATCAGCAAAGGCTTTCCCCGTGTTAATTGTGACACACGTTAATTAGTAACGTGCTGGAAAATTGTTTTGAACTTTTTCCGTAATTACAACCAGCACGGCGCGGGGGCAGAACTAATTCTTGCTTAGAGAGTAGAGACACATCATAGAGAGTCTAATAAGTACCGAGAAAGGCAAATATGGAATACTCGCCTATTTTACACGCTGACAGCTAGTGTCGAATATCAAAATATCGGTTATTTTTCTTTTCCTTTTTGTAGAATAGGAATATTCAAAAGTTACACTAGTTATTATTCAGCTGCATTGACCTTGTTCAGCTGTAACATTTTGGAGCTTGAAGTTATTAATATTCTATTACAGCAGCGTTCGAGTTGATCAGAATAATTATCTCGATTTTTATAAAATTAATTGGAACAACAAAATGCTACCGCTAGCGATGTCTTGTCATGTGTTTCTATCAGAGACGTATCCGAACGTGTCAAAGGTCTATTTCAAAAAGTAGTCTCCCTAATAGATCTTTCTTCGTGTTTATGTAGTTCTCTCACTGTTTGTCATTCTTAGTCAAATATTAAAGAGACAACTATGAGTTAGTATGGATAATTATCGGATAAATGTCATATTTTATTACCAGTAGTACTGCCACCTTACCTAATTCCGCCGCCAAGCAGCATTACTGTGTTCCGGTTTAGAAGGGCAAGGGTGCTGGTAAAATTACAGGTACATGGGACTTGTCAACTTGCTCGTATGTCTCAGGGTGTCGGGTACAGCGGCAGTGCCCATCAGATCTTTGCGATTTAAAGCTCTGAGTGGCACTGCACCTGTTATAGATAGTCGTGTCGCTTACCATCAGGCACACGACTTGTTCGTCCCGGCACTTGATATTATAGATAAAAGAAAACTATCAAAATCATTATCAAAGGAAGTAAATATCAATATTACAATGACAGTTGTCGCTAGCAACCGCGTAAAGAACATGTATAGTGTCGCTTTCAAAATAACTCAACAGTTCTGCATCATTAAAATTCAGAATCTGATACGAAAACTTGTACTTTGTCACGTAGTACTCTCACAATACTTACTGAATAGCAAGACCTGCACAAGCGTCCCAAATTATTAAGCAGAAAACTCGATACTTGCGAAATCTAATTAGGACACCGACCGCCAGTAAGCAAAAAGAAGAAGAATAATCATAATTTTGTATGGTACATTGCTCTGCGCCCCAGTCACAAGGAGAAGTAACAAGGTTGTATT